AAAAAAAAAAAAAAATTTAAAAAGCTTTTACACAGTTTTTTAGTTCACAGTATATTGTGCAGTTTACAAAATGGATTGTTTGTATTTCAATATTACAACCTCAACCTAATCTCACAAAATTGCCACTGAGACTAGTTTTTACATGTAATAAATCTGAGGTGATATCTGCAACATTCGTAAATTTATTATTATTCTTGTTACTTTGAAAAGATGGATTTACGTACGGGATTCGCTGATCTCATAACCCAATTCGTGATTGATTAATACCAACTGAAACAGCATACGTTTGATTATATTTTCAAATCTGATCACGGTTTTTAATTTAATTGACTTGAGGTTTCTTTTTGCAATCATTAAACTCTCGATTATTCGCGACACTCTTTATCAGCCGTTTGTTTAATAAATTGTTTACTGATTTATCTTTAAGCTCAACGTGATTCCTTTCAAGTCCATTAAATTCGTTATAAAATTCGTTCGAACTTGACGCTCGACGTACCTGAAATATTCACGAGTATCGGCTGGAGCGCTGCCGACAAATATTGTAGATCCTCCGTTGGAACTGAGTGAAACTTTTCCACCGGAAGACCCGCTTTGTATTTGGATACTTATTTTGCCGTTGCCACTAGTATGTGCTTGTATCTTCTGGCCATTGCGGAACTTTGTATTAACTCCTTGCAAATTGCTTCGAAAAACTTGGACTCGTCCGTTGTGATTGATCCTAGTTTTACCGTCAGCAACGTTTATTTGTAAATTATATCCGTCACCGTCGCTGCCCTGTACTAAATAAGTTTGCCCATTTATATTGATCTGGGCTGAATTCCGACCTGCATCCCAATCATGTTTGGCTCTTCTATTGTTTTCAAGTAATTGATTTTGAGCATCGGTATTTTTAATGCCGCCTTTGGTAGTGGATTCTATGTTGTTTGTGCTTCCCTTGTACACATAAGCAGTGGCTGTTTTTGAAAGTATTGCTATTAACCATAATATTGATATCTGTGGAAGGTATTAATTTAATCATTATTTATTTTTATTTTTTGCTAATTTTTAATCGTCTTAATCTTTGGCTTTAGTTTTTAAACCATTATAGTATAAGACAAAGTTTTGTAACTTTTATTGATTTATGACTATTTTTTTTTAAATCACAAAAATTACAAAATGTATTTGATGATTAAAAAAAGTCAATTAATGCATGTTGTTTTTAGACTTACGTCAGTAAAACTTACCAGTTTCCAAGTCATATTGATCGATGCTAAATTAATGAATTATCTGTTATAAATCATCTACTTTTACCATTCACCTTAGAGTATTACCTTTTGTACCTAAAAATAGAGAATTACGTATGCCTAAAACTTATCATTGATATTAATAATAAATATTTTTTAAATAAATTTTCTTAAAAAATCTAAAGCACATATGAATGTATTAGTTCATCATTGGGTCTTTTGATCATTGCTGAGTTAATAAATTCTCCTTTGCAAGATATCCCCTGTATATCTTCATACTTTAACTTGTGTGCACACTGAGCACTTATTATCCCCAAAACTTATCGTAAAGTAGTATGGTAGTCTTTAAAATTGATATCAGGTTTAAAATTTTAAATTTTTACAACACTTTGGTTAGTACGTATGAATTTATAACTTTTTAAAATTTTCCGAAAAAATTCACGTTTTCTTCATATTTGCAAGAATGTCATTTTTTTCACGCTTGAATTTATCAAATTTTTTTCAGGTATACAATTTTTTTAACCGTCTATGATTATTTAATGCTGACTTTTGTTATTTTGAGTGCACATCTTGTTTTTAACAGCTTTTTAAAAATATTAACATCGAATGTAATAAGTGTGTGTAAGTGCATATAATTGTTTTTGTATAGATAATTTTATTTAAAAAATCAACTACAAGGGAAGTTCATATTTGAAATGAGTTGGCATTTGAAATATAATAATGTATCTTAGTAAATTTAATCAAAAAGTATCGTAAAATATTCAATTAAGTTATGATCAATATAAATTAATTTAAAGAATATTGTAGAAGAACTTTCTTTAAAGTTACAATTTAATTTTTTAGATGACACGACTGTAAAGAATAAAATATGTATTATGATTAACCCAAATAATATTTACTGATCTATGTACACTTTAACAAGTCTAATAATATATTGTGTATATTATGCATCTCAAGAGAAGAAATCAACAATGTCTCAGTTCATGTATTTATTGGTATCCAAACCGAAGAAAAATGCAGTTATTGCGCAGTTTGAGAGTACCTTTATTTAATGTCATTTAATTCTTTCAGGTAGAATTTTCTTTTCTGATCTATATGGTTTTCCTTGTATCTTATAAGAAAAATATCGAAGTATTATAAAAGTATAAATGTTCCAGTTAATAATAATACAAATTCTAAACTACTTTCAAAACCACACAAATGATTAAAAATAAGAAATAAAATATTTTACTGTCATCAGTAATGCCAAATAATCACTTTATTCCTTGTTAAAATATTGTATTCTTCACTAGTAAGTAACTTTGAATGTTCATCTGTAGAAAATTTATTATAGTCATTTTATGCTTTCTGAAAGAAGCCAGTGTAAAAGTCTAAAAATAAAAATGTGTAATTTTTACTTTTTTTACGTATCTCATTTTTTTAAGTTTAAAATTCGTTTAAATAATATGACGGGTCACATGTGAGATCTTAACAAAATAGTCTTTTGTTTTACGTAGCTTTTTTGATAGGATTTATTAATTTTTTATGATATGTATTATGTCAAATCACAACAAGCCTTAATAAGAATTTGTCACTTTTTGGGTAAATTAGTACCTTATTGAGGGCTATTCGTATTTCAACTTATAGCCTTTTGTACAAGTTTATTACTCTTGTTTCGTATTTCTTCCAGAATTATCAACTGAAGTTAACATCGTCTGAGGAGGACTTATTAATGCTTTTCGTTGATAACACTTGTATTAATCATTGGTACTTATCATTTCAGATATTTATATAACTCCTTGTTTTCTTGGATTATGTAGCGTAGTTCGAATTTAAAATGTTTTTATTTTTACTATCAAGTGTCTCATGTGAAAAAAAATAAACAAATAAAAGTATGGGCTCAAATTGCTATTATCTTATTGGGTGAGTCACACTATGCAAGGTGTGATAAAAAAATTGTTTATTTATGTAAAATGATTTTTCTGCTTTGCGTTTTTTAAAGGGTTATGATACAGTTTACACATTAATTTAAACAACTTTTTAATGAATTTAAAGTGATGGCTATTCATTTAATACTGTCATGCGACTAATAGTAAAAAAAAAAATTTGAATGAATAATAATCCATTCAGTTCTCTATTACAGTTTTTACCTTATGTTTTCTTTGTATGTGTTTACTTATTTATTCATTTGTTTAACATTTTTTAAATGATTCATTTATTTATTTTTAAATGTATGGATTAAGATGAGCCTATTTATCGAAGTTGACACATACGACAAGATGAATAATGAACTTTTGCATATTTTTACCAATACAAACACCCTCAGACACAATGAGTATAATTCTACTATTTTCTTCAAGATATAATGTTGTAAGATGTGTAGAGGTACGATCTAATAATATATTAATGTGTAATTAATGTTTATTTTAATAAACAATAATTAAATAAAATGGTATGGAACGTTGAAGCAATATTAATTTATGAACGGAAAAAATCGCTGCAATGTAAATCTAAATAAATCATATTTTTTGGGACATGCACTTACTTTGTGCTGATAAAATCATGAGTATCATTTTATTTTTTATCAATCAAGTTCAAGAATTTTGTTAAATATGCTGTGATTCTGTGAGTGCATGGTACAAATAATTAATTAATTAATTAGTATTGGATGGTATAAATATGGTTGTGTAGCTTATATTTAATAAAAACACTTGAAATGACGTGGAAAGAATTTATCACTTTAAATAACTTCTCACATTTCGAATGAAAAAAATATGACCTTAATAGTAGTTTTGTGTAAAGAATTTATTTTATAATTGATTCATTTACAAGTATACTGTTCAGCTTAAATAACAGAATAAAGTGTCCTCATGAATGGTATACATTACAGAAAAAAATACTACCCACACTGTACTCAACCTAAACGTGTTCCATTACCATACCCTTACTGCCTTTTTGGTGGTTATATTAATAATATTAAGATTTTCTATCTAGTCTGAGCATAAAATATCTCATTGTGATTTAAGGTTAGGTTAAAGTTATAAGGAATACTTGGATCGCAACCTTATTGCCTCTTAGTTCAAACATCGAGGTCTTTCATTGTTTCTTCGATCCATTGGTGCATGACTTATTCTGCTCATACTGTTATAATTTTGCGTGACAAAATTGTACAAGTAGTAAGGAGGTCTTCTAATTTGTATGATACAATATTTTAACATTTCATAGGTCGGTACAGCGGTGAATGCGTACATAATATGTGTATAACAATACCTTAATTAAGTCATGTAAATTGAAAACTATTCAGATTTACAGGTGTATGAAATAATCAAACTTTATTACTGCAACTATTTTCCTGTTTGCGTATGGGAAACAGTACAATCAAATTTAATTCCGTATTTTTATTATTATTATGAGATTTTGCAATCGCAATGTACATTTTTTACAAGCATTTCTTTTTTGCATTTAAACATAATTATCAATTTAATTGATACCAAACCTTAAACCACCATTAAGACCGAAAAATTTACCGCCTAGATTGAAAGCAGCTTCTATACCTTTCTTAAAACCACCTTTTCCTTGGCCTTCTATTTGGGCTTGTCCACCACCTTGTCCTCCAATGTGTCCACTTTTTTCTAGGTGGACATTACTAGAAACACCAGTTCCAAAATTGAGTCCACCTAATAAACCACCTTGTTTATGACCACCGAGATAACCAGTATCTCCACCTTGCGTGTGAGAATTAACGCCAAGTCCACCGCCTATTGAGCCGCCATGATTTATGGTTGGTTTACCTTCAATATTCACAGATGAGGTAGCTTTAGTATCAGTATTAATATTTTTCTGTACACCAATTTCGGCATTTGGTTCAATAACGATTCCTCCTTCTTTTTGACCTCCGACTTGGACAGATTTACCTTTTCCAAGACCCAAATGACCACCCAATCCAAGAGCAAGTCCTAGCATTCCTGTGACACCATTATGGATATGGGAGCCTATATTTTTTCCTGTTTCAATACCTACGTTGATTCCTGTCGTCACACCTTTATTGATGGCGTTTCCTGCTTCGATTCCAGCAGTTACTCCAGCTTCGACACCTTTTTTAATACCTTTGCCAATCTCGAGTGCAATTTTTGATCCAACATTTGATCCAGCATCAACACTTTTCCCAACATTAATGTCCACGTATCCATGACTTTTGTGAACACCAATACCACCATCGTGACCTAAGTTTGATCCACCAACAATAATTACTTTTTTTTGGGTATCAACATCAGCGGATGCATCCGATCCACCACCGACGGTCACGATCAAACCACCTTGATGATTTAGATTCGATCCAGCATCAACGTTAACTTTCTTTCCAACGTTGACATCCGCGTCCAACCCTAGATTTATGCCAACGCCTAAACTGCCTTGTTTGTTGTGACCTACGTTTGATACAGCTCCAACATCGATTTCCTTTTGAGCATTGACACCAGCAGATGTGTCTGATCCACCACTGACACCAACATTCAAACCACCTTTATGTCCTACATTCGAACCACTCGTAATTTGAACTTTTTTCTGAGTATTGACGTTAGCAGATTTATCTGATCCACCACTGACACCCGCAATCAAACCACCTTCATGTCCTAGATTAGATCCAACATCAACGTTAACTTTCTTTTCAGCGTTGACATCCGCGCCTAACCCTAGATTAATGCCGATGCCTAAACTGCCTTGTTTGTTGTGACCTACGTTTGATCCGCCACCAATTTCAACTTTTTTCTGNGTCGAGGTTGGTAAGGATCCACATTGTCGTAATGATGGCTTTGTGGTGGATGTTTGAGGTATCCTGTTTGGTCGGAATCATGGGCAGGTCGAGGTTGGTAAGGATCCACATTGTCGTAATGATGGCTTTGTGGTGGATGTTTAAGGTATCCCGTTTGGTCGGAATCGTGGGCTGGTTGAGGGTGATAAGGATCGACATAGTCGTAATTATGGCTTTGTGGTGGATGTTTGAGATATCCTGTTTGGTCGGTATCAAGGGCAGGTCGAGGTTGGTAAGGATCCACATTGTCGAAGTGATTACTGGGTGGGTGTTTGAGATACTCTACGTTGTCGGTACCGTATCTAGATGGGTGTTTCAGGTGCTTGACGCTACGAGTGTGTCGAAAATGTTCAGTGTTCCGTTCTTGACTAGGATGACTCAAGTACTCGGACCGTAGTGGGTGGCGTAGATAGTACTCGGATTTTTCTTTGCGTGTATGCCTCAGATATCCAGTATCGTGATCAGGGTTCTCCAAGTATTCAGACCCTGGGTGTTGCAGATGCTCGGATCCTGGATTTTGTAGATACTCGGATCCAGGACTTCTAAGGTGCTCGACATTAGTTCTAGGGTTCTGAAGGTGCTCGGATTCACTACCAGGTGGATGATGCAGCTCATGTGGGTTGAATTCAGGTGTGTGCATAAGTTCTTCGGTCCCGGCATAGCCTGAAGCCATTGTCTGGACGACAATGGCTGTCAGAGGTATAAGCACCTATAATTTTTCGAATATCTTTTATTTGAGGTTATTAAAATTATCTCACTTATTTAATTAACTTGTTGTATTAAACGCACTTCGAGCGTTCTTCGTTATGGACACTACTTTTATGATAAAATATGAATATTTGCATATTATACAATTTAATTAGTAAGTAATATATACTACTCTTATAAAAAAATAACACAACTCTACTTACACCCAAGTGGAAATAATTTTATTTGATAAGTTGGTAATAATTNTTGCAATCGCAATGTACATTTTTTACAAGCATTTCTTTTTTGCATTTAAACATAATTATCAATTTAATTGATACCAAACCTTAAACCACCATTAAGACCGAAAAATTTACCGCCTAGATTGAAAGCAGCTTCTATACCTTTCTTAAAACCACCTTTTCCTTGGCCTTCTATTTGGGCTTGTCCACCACCTTGTCCTCCAATGTGTCCACTTTTTTCTAGGTGGACATTACTAGAAACACCAGTTCCAAAATTGAGTCCACCTAATAAACCACCTTGTTTATGACCACCGAGATAACCAGTATCTCCACCTTGCGTGTGAGAATTAACGCCAAGTCCACCGCCTATTGAGCCGCCATGATTTATGGTTGGTTTACCTTCAATATTCACAGATGAGGTAGCTTTAGTATCAGTATTAATATTTTTCTGTACACCAATTTCGGCATTTGGTTCAATAACGATTCCTCCTTCTTTTTGACCTCCGACTTGGACAGATTTACCTTTTCCAAGACCCAAATGACCACCCAATCCAAGAGCAAGTCCTAGCATTCCTGTGACACCATTATGGATATGGGAGCCTATATTTTTTCCTGTTTCAATACCTACGTTGATTCCTGTCGTCACACCTTTATTGATGGCGTTTCCTGCTTCGATTCCAGCAGTTACTCCAGCTTCGACACCTTTTTTAATACCTTTGCCAATCTCGAGTGCAATTTTTGATCCAACATTTGATCCAGCATCAACACTTTTCCCAACATTAATGTCCACGTATCCATGACTTTTGTGAACACCAATACCACCATCGTGACCTAAGTTTGATCCACCAACAATAATTACTTTTTTTTGGGTATCAACATCAGCGGATGCATCCGATCCACCACCGACGGTCACGATCAAACCACCTTGATGATTTAGATTCGATCCAGCATCAACGTTAACTTTCTTTCCAACGTTGACATCCGCGTCCAACCCTAGATTTATGCCAACGCCTAAACTGCCTTGTTTGTTGTGACCTACGTTTGATACAGCTCCAACATCGATTTCCTTTTGAGCATTGACACCAGCAGATGTGTCTGATCCACCACTGACACCAACATTCAAACCACCTTTATGTCCTACATTCGAACCACTCGTAATTTGAACTTTTTTCTGAGTATTGACGTTAGCAGATTTATCTGATCCACCACTGACACCCGCAATCAAACCACCTTCATGTCCTAGATTAGATCCAACATCAACGTTAACTTTCTTTTCAGCGTTGACATCCGCGCCTAACCCTAGATTAATGCCGATGCCTAAACTGCCTTGTTTGTTGTGACCTACGTTTGATCCGCCACCAATTTCAACTTTTTTCTGGGTACTGACGCTAGCAGATTCGTCTGATTCACCACTGACACCCAAACTCAGATCACCTTGATGTCCCAGATTTGCTCCGCCACCAATTTCAACTTTTTTCTGAGTACTGACGCTAGCAGATTCGTCTGATTCACCACTGACACCCACACTCAGATCACCTTGATTTCCCAGATTTTTTCCGCCACCAACATTAATTTTCTTTTCAGCGTTGACATCTGCGCTCAACCCTACACTGATGCCGGTGCCCAAACTGCCTTGTTTATGGTCATTTGCCACAAGATTGGCTCCTCCTTCAATGTTGACTGTCTTTCCAGCATTGACATCGGCAGACGTGTCGGATCCAACATTAAAACGGTGAACACCAGCTCCTCCCTTGGCAAGTTGGAGACCGAGTGATACATCACCACTAATACCAGCTCCAAGAAGTTTGCCAGCTGTCGCGGAGGCAACAACGGCAGCTAAAGCCAACAATACCTGTAACATATCACAGTAAAAAAATATATTTTAACTGTTCAAAATGATATAAAACACTGGCTATCATTTCATTCATGAAATATAATTATTATTGTATTATTGTTATTTTAATGAAACGTATAAACAATTTGGATTTTGTGAGGAAATAATTAATATACATACAAATAGTTATAAGAATACTGTTCTGCCTCCCTTCTACGTACTTCCGCGTAGTGGTGTAAGTTTTGCTTTTGTATATACAATATATGCGACAGCGACGGCAATGGTGACAGTAGCGAAATTTTAATATTAAAAGGTGTACATATCACAATAACAAAAAATTAGTACTTTGCTCAGAAAATACACTGTTAATTTGGAATGTGTTAACAGCTATGAGTACATTTTTAACGATAAGTATGTAAATTGCTTTTCAATTTGTTTGCATAAACTTATTTAAACGTTGCTACATGTTCTACATGGTATACGCGAATCTTCACAAAAAGTTTTATTGGATGGTTCAAGAGTAACGAATAAGTTTTTTTAAAAAATAATTAATGTTTCACAGGTGGATATAGTCAATTAGCTACATGACAAGAACTTTTGGGTTTAAATAAAATTCTAGTGTTGAAGTGTGGACTACCCCAACTCTTTCCAAGAAATAAATTGTATAGTGGGCAATAATAATCATTTATTCGATTGCTTTGCAATTGTACCTCAAGATTTTTAACCATAACTTTATCAAAAATTGTTGTTTGGAATTAGAATTAATAAAAAAATGTGTCACAGATCCATTAATTAAACAATCCTGATTTTCAGTAAGCTGTATTTTTAAACAAAATAACCAATAAAAATTTGTTGTGAGTACATTATTCAATGACATCCTTCATTTCGTTTAACAATCATTAGTTTAATCCACGTTAAATTAAATAATAACTGAAAGTACATGTATATAGATCAGGAAATTAAAAAAAAAATATGTTATTTTTTAATTAAACTTACCAGTTCACTTTTCATGTTTTTAATGAACTCCGGAATCGTCTGACGTTTTTCAAAAATTTTTACCTTTTATATCGTGGAGGTAAAAGCTTATCGCCACCGTATTTCATTATCTCAGGAAATAATTATATAACAATGTTTACAGACTACTTTATTTATTAAAGAATTTTAGTTTAATTGTATTTTTCCTGAAACATTGTTCTGTTGTAAAAATCAAAAGCCAGCCAAAAATGTAAAAATTATATAGTTAATATTCATACATAAAAAATCCACAAGTATTCATATATTTTTATTGATTGACAAACAGTATTTGTTTATTTAAATAAGTTATCAACTGGAAATCCTAGCTTGGACATGTTTTAATGCTCATAGTATACGTATATATTCACTACCATGTGTGTAGCACATTTTGATACGTAAAAAAAAAACGTTTGCAAAAAAGATATCAAACTTAAAAGTGTTTTATGCGTATGAAATAAAAATTAACGAGAACAAAAAATGTTTTCATTAGCAAATTTCTTTCAGCGTCACTTATTTTCAATCAGGTGTAATTGTATGTATTATATATATGATTCAATCCTAAGAAAAATTTTTTTCTGTCCCTGACAAAATATTTGATCAAATCACTATTTTCTTCCTACTTCTTGTAGTGTAGTTTTATTCTATGCATATTATTATAGATAAAAAATTATACCACAGGTATTAGACGATTTTTATTACTTCAGTAAATAATACAAAACGAAATAAAGGGTGAAAAATGCTTAATTTCCATTGTCCCTTTAAAAAATTCGTTTCTTTGGTATACGCTGTAACTTTTGGAGCATAGCTCCAAATGACTTGAATTTTCGCACAGAACTAACTTTTAATGACAAACTGTCATGATTTTGGGTGTGCTACTAATTGAAAAAAAATGGTGGTGTCCACCATTTTTACTAAAAACGTATCTTTTGATATTTCGTCATGCCATGTTTGCATTGCCCCCCTCTAACTGTGATGAACATCCTTAAGCAAATTATATGACTGTTATTGATACGTAATCAGTGAATTCGGTAAAAATGTGAAATTATGCATTGAAAATACCAAAAAAATAATAATTTATACTTGCTTTTATTATTTTAGGCTAGTTTAAAGAACCAACAAAGAAGTAGGAGACTTGCAAGTATTAACATTTAATTTCTTGTATGTACATGTCTTTCAGAAAAATTGTAAATCCTAGTAGTCTAAAGCTTTTGTTACAAAAGTATTATTTTTTTTCAAACCACCTTTATGTCCTACATTCGAACCACTCGTAATTTGAACTTTTTTCTGAGTATTGACGTTAGCAGATTTATCTGATCCACCACTGACACCCGCAATCAAACCACCTTCATGTCCTAGATTAGATCCAACATCAACGTTAACTTTCTTTTCAGCGTTGACATCCGCGCCTAACCCTAGATTAATGCCGATGCCTAAACTGCCTTGTTTGTTGTGACCTACGTTTGATCCGCCACCAATTTCAACTTTTTTCTGGGTACTGACGCTAGCAGATTCGTCTGATTCACCACTGACACCCAAACTCAGATCACCTTGATTTCCCAGATTTTTTCCGCCACCAACATTAATTTTCTTTTCAGCGTTGACATCTGCGCTCAACCCTACACTGATGCCGGTGCCCAAACTGCCTTGTTTATNAATTTCACTATTTTAATAAAATCAACCAAAAAATTGTTACAAAAATTTACCATTAATTAAAAGAGTTATAACACTAACAGTAACTGTACACTTACAAATAGTTATATAAATATGTAAAACTACAAAAAAAAAAATGATTATTGTAATGTAAAAGAAACATTTATATGTGTATGAATGTAATAAAACCTAAAATTTATTTAGCCTCTACAGTTAAATCATTTAAACTTATTTTGAAACAGCTGTTGGCTTCAGGAATCTATCGAATAAATATAATGGTTGTAGTCTAATTTTTGTCAGAATTTATTGTTGTGACAGAAATAGTACAAAATCTATTTCATAATAAATTTAAATATTTGGTATTACGTTTAGGATACCTCCTTATTCAGAACGACTTCAAAGCAATACATTAAATATCAAACAAGTATGTTAATATTTAATAATTTATATTAAATAGTATGTTTAATGTTTTTTTTTTAACACAGACAATCAGGAAGGTCAAAAGGACTGAGTATTTTGGAAGTCAAGTTATACTTGCAAAAAATGGCAGCATATCATCGATTACTTAACTTTATTCTTAAACCTCAGTAAATCTCTCAGTTAACAGCTAAAATAGGAGGGACTCGCAAAAAAATATAGATTTATTAAAAGGTTTTGTACACATAAATTCATGAACAACGTATTGCTTACAATTTGTTTTCCTTAAATACAGTGATTAACGTAATACTTATAGAAAAGACAAATTCACAAAGAAAATCTCTTAAAAAGTTCTGTAAAAAAACTTTTTCATTAATTTCAACTTTTTTTACCGCATACTCGGCATCATTTTCAAATTATTGCGATGCATTGGTTCAAATAGTATTTATTATCTCCTTAAAATTTATTTACCAACTTGATTACTCATTGTTTTTGTTTTTGCACGAGCCTCTTGTATCAACTGCGAACTGAGAGGTCAACTGAGGCGTTTCGTTAAATCGATTAAATTAGCGACGGTGCAGTCGTGTCATCAATTGATTTTAACCGACTTGACTTTCAAAACAGCCCCAAAGATTTATTTTATAATCTCATATTCTTATGGAGTGTCGTATTAAAAATTTTTAAGTGTTTACTTAATAACTTAAATAAAATGTATTATTAGTTTTTCTCTTTATTAAACCTGTTTGATGCACGAATGTTTTATTTTGACATAATCATATCTTGTGAAGGGGAGTAATGGTATATTAACAAGATATTAAAAATGAACAAATTTTCCAGTAAAATACGTTGTGTAAAATTATTGGGGTTATTACTTCTTATCACTACTGACGTCAACGGCAAAAGTTTGCGATCCTACTCACTTTATACTGTGTGTGTATCAAAGAACTTTTTCAAGCTGAACTTTTTATCGGGAAAAATATTTTAATATCGTAAAAATTATTTCGGCGGGTCTGGTTTAAAAAAATTTTTGAAATTTTCTATCAAGTTTATATGATTGTAGTACTTTCTAAATAATGTTTCTGATGTTATTCGTGACTTTTTTTATCCTATTGTATCATTTTAAAAAATCACTTTTAAAATAGGCTCAGCTTTGCGTGGTATATTATCATGAATTCAAAAATTACAAAAATCTATTTCATTAATGTTTAGTTTGTACAATACGTATAGGGTGATAATGCAATTTTAGTTCAAAAACGTTACTGCAGAAGATGGCCAATAAAATGTAGTTCAATCTTTTTTGTTATCTTCTTTTTTCTTTCATGCTCTCATAATTCAAGCTACCACTTTCAATTTTAAACAAAAATGTTTAAATCGTTTAGTACGGAATTAAATACACATGGTTTAGCTATATACACAAAAATCAAAATTTAATTAATAAAATTAATAAAAATCACAATGTCAAGTCATTTTAGCTAAAATATGAAATACTTTACTCTTTCAACAGTTTTTGGAATGCTCTATTAAGTTAACATTATTATAAAAAACGGTGAATGTAACGCTTTCTAAATAAATCTTTTGCATTTTATCCATAATTTATTTTATTGTTTTGTGTGAAATATTATTATGAATTTCTATTGCATAATTTATTAGTATTATCTCAATCAAGTGGCTTCATAAATGTACTTGAATAGTATTATGTACAGGAAGTGTATCGAAAAAACAGCACGTCCTTATTAACTACCTAAATAAATATGTACTGGTTACTCTTTTTACTAGAGTTACCTTATATTTAGTGGATAATGTCTGTAATATAATGTACAATTAAACTTAATGTAACGTGCAATTTTATTACTGCGTAAAGTAATGATTTTCAAGAGGGACCAAATTCAAATATTCAATTATACACGGTAGTAGTAGTTGCAGTTTGAAGTTTTTGGATGTAGTTATAAATAATGTAGCAGATTATAGTTGATTAAAAGAACACGAAATATACTTTGCAAAGTGCATTGAGTACATTTTTTCTTACTCAATAATGTCTTAAAATTTATTTTGCAATTTTATGTAAGCGTTGGATGATAGTTTTGCAAAATAGTGGTTACCAACATGTTAAAAATTAAATTGGCCGAGTACGGAATACAATACTCGAACGAGAAACTAAAGACAAAACGTTGGAATGTTATAAGAATAGATAAAGTGGATGGCATACTTAGGACTATAAGATTCTCGTTTGTTTAAATAGTAACAATTAATTACACATTAACAAAACTAATTTACTTTTTCGTTATATTTCCTTATTATTTTTTTTTCTTTTCATTTATCATCAACAAATTAATTTCTTATGCATACCCTTGGATGAAATTATGTGATTCTTACTGTGTCATCGTAATGTGTAAATAACTGATAAATGTTTCAATTAAAAAAAAAAAAAAAAAAAAAACTACTTACTCAAACTACGTTTTTCCCATGTCAAGTTTTTCTCATGTTCAAATTTTTGGAAAAATTTTTAGCTGTTTCTATTTGCTATGCATTTTAAATGTGAGAGGATTTTTGACATTGCATGAAGCAACAAATACTTGTATTAAAAAGGATATAGGAGTTTGTGCATGGGAAGTAAAATTAAACATGTATTTATAATATTCGTATTTATTAGTTGATTATTTATTATTACAATGTTGTGATTACGAGAATTTAATTATTGCGTCTTTGGTCAGAGTTTTGGCAACGAATGATCATATGAGTAAAAAATCAAAAGTTTCAATAACAATATTATAATTAAAATGGCGCTTTACTGCAATAAATACACAGTACCACTAACTTGCCATTTAAAAAGGACATTACAAGCGTAGTTTTGATTTGAAACTCACATTGACCACATAGTCTTTTTTTAAATTAATTATGTTAGCTATTGGGATGAAAATGGTTAACCTATT